CAATTGAAACTTTGGGGACCTAAGTGAACACCAATTAAAAACTTTAAGGGTCATTAGTGTAACCAACTCTTTTATGTTACGTTGAACATTGTCTTGATAGAACTTTTACTGGTTTCCTTTACTTGATTGTTACAGCTAGTGAACCATGGGATTTCAGAGGAACTCCTCCAGAGGGTGAAGAAGGTTTGCTCCGACTGCTATACGATGGAGAGAGAAGAAGGTTTCAAGAACTCGACGCCAGTGAAGTTGCTGAATGAACTGGTGGAAAAGAAGAGCGATGACAAATTGGAGAATTTGGACTGGGAAGACGTGTTCCTTCTCTCTGATGATAACGAGTGGCCATCAAAGACCCCAGGATTCAAGTAAGTATATTCAGTACTAGTTCTAATCACTTCCATCAGCACAGAAAAGTAAAATTCACCATTAACGTTAATGCTATCACCCAGTTTCTAATGAATCCTAGGAGACTGACAGTATAAACGAGCGGGAAATAGAACGTATAAATGCAGGAAATAAATACTTCGATCTAGAAGCGATTGTTCATCTACCTAATTTTCGACATAAGAAAGGGGTGTGAACAATGCCTTTTCTTGTGTCGAAATAATAATGATTCTTGATCATGTTCGTCAAAGATTTCTATCGTAGTTTCAATTTTTCCCAGACTCTTGCTTGGTTGCTGAGAAAATGAAGAAAAAATCTAACAGGATTCATGTATAAAAATCAGCTTATAAATCCTTTTATGTCATTAATAGTTATTTGTAAAAATCCCTCTAGTATGCATATTTTGTCACCAGGCCCCATGGCAGGTCATATTTCTCAAACAAATTCTCTTTCCATTGTTTTGCAAACATAGTATTGCTTTCGTATGATTCTAAAAGGCAACTTGGTTGCAGACATAGTATTTCTGTCATTTTTTTGGGGGGAGAGGAGAGGAGAAGGGAGGTTGAACCCTTGATCTCAAAAAGGCAAAATCTTTTCAAAATAAAATTTTTATAAGACAAAGAGTACTATTGGATCGAAGGTCCATTAATTGCAAACATAGTATTTCTGTCATTGCAAGGTCTCTAAAGGAACAAACATATATAATCTTAGTCTGCATGTAGAGAGTCTGTATATGTGAATATGATTTTATCTCTTCGCCAAATTGTGGCATATTTAAAATTTTAAATACGAGTATTTAATATCTTAGTGTTAATGTTATCATGTAAAACTATTATGATTAAATTTCACACAATATATTATATTTTATTTACTTTTACTAAAATCGACAAAATTAATTCAAACCACATCAAAATACATGTAAAATGTTTCAAAATAATTTGTCAAAAAATAAAACTTTCAGCTTAATTCCATCACAAAATTAATGGAGAACAACTAAAGTTTAACTCAATTTTACTAGATAATCAACAATTTCAACATTAAAATGTTTAAATTCCACCATTTCAGGTCAATTTATGCTCAATTGTATTAATTGAACTTATAATTTTGACTCAAAACATTAGAGGGCCATTGACAACCAAGGCCCCAAGATGGTAACGTCCTTGTGTGTATTGAATTCGTAACACCCAAAATTACACTGACGTAACTTAAGTTGTCCCAAAGCCTATGCATACAAGGGTCTATTCCTGTATTTTTTGTTTCACTTGTCTTTTATACCGAAATTTGTGTTCAATTGAAATCTTTCATTCTGTATGGAGTATTGGACTTCCTTTCAATATCAGATTGCATAATCTGAACAACTTGTAGAAATGTAAGATACATGTTTAAGTAGCAGCCACTACCTTCAACTACCTTACTTGAGACAATGCTCAAGAAAAATATAGTATTAAAACTTAGATTAATATATCATCTGACTTGTGAATTTAATGAATAATAGGGAAACTATGGCAGAATACCGAGCTGAGTTGAAGAAGCTGGGAGAGAAGGTCATGGAAGCCATGGATGAAAACTTGGGTTTGCCAATAGGATACATCAAGAAAGCTTTCAATGGTGAAGAAGCTGATGCCTTTTTTGGCACTAAGGTGAGCCACTACCCGCCCTGCCCACATCCCGAGAGG